AATGAAATCTTGAATTTCACAGTGATATTTGATCTGCTATGTGGCTACTGAGACTGAGGCTTTAGAGGTGTATGGAGATAATGAAGTCAAAAGTTTGTACAGTCACTTCAAACAGATACTAGAATACAGAGGATGCAATGAAATTGACACATTAATTGAATGAACAGCACTGAAGAAAATAGTTCGGAAAAGTAGAACAGACAGAAGGCCAATCCCTGAAATATCTTGATATCTGGCAAAGAGTGATGTTGGTGTTTGGAGACAATTATAAGTGTATTCTCATGCTTGTCAAGATAGTTCTTCTCATACCATGTAGTACAGCAGTATGTGAACGCGGATTTTCACTAATGTCAGTAATTAAAAGTGACTGGCGAAGCAGGCTTCAACCTGAAACCTTAACAGCATTAATGGCAATCAATTTATGTGATGATGAACTTGACACATTTGTTCCTGACAATGCAATTGACTTGTGGTTTCAAGATAGCAAAACAAGCAGAAGACCCCATACAAGACGATATGGATCTCGGGTACCAGAAAATGAGGCTGCATGGTCTGACGACGACGATCTTATAAAGAAACTTTAAACTTTATTAAAACTTTAAAAGTGGTGCATTTCACAACAAGTTGGTGCAGGTAAATTTCAAATTCAACATGCACACTGTGCATGCAGGTAAAAAATTCTATTTCAATCCCTGATTTGTTGATATTATTTAATAACTCAAATAGAAATATAGAGGGTAAAAATGACACCCCGTTAACGCGTCAAGTATGATTTTGTATGGTTTCACTTTATAAATGATTATATAATGAACACATTATACACAATGTACTGTTTTTTTTATTTTATTTATTACCATGTATACTAATCACATTTAATGTATGTAAAACATGTTTGCAACAGGAATACTAGAAAGCTGTACATGAACACAAAAAAATCAATAAAAATGCTATTATCACTGTTGTGAATACAATGTGTTAAAAAGTGTTTTCGTCAAAGGCAGAACCAAGCGAACTTTAACGCTGCCAATAACATAAACTGGTAAATAAATTAACAAAGGGTGTGTCTAATATATTTGACTATTGTAAACTGCTTGAAAAACAAATCACACCAACTATCTAATTTGTAAAAATAAAAGAACATATCTTTTTTACCCCACTTCCATCCCCCTTTTTTGTTTGTGCACACTTCCACACATTCAGACTAAATTAGTTTTGCCACTTTGTAAAATAACTGATCATAAGTTTACTTTCTGCACTCATGTGTTTCCACTCTAAAATTGTGTGTATATGTGAAAACAAAACATAATTTTACTTTCACCACCCAATATTTTTTTCCCATTCTAAAGTTTTATGTACTTTTTTTCAATTTTAATTCAGACCAACCCCAGACATGATGGTCTACTGATATTTCAGAAACAAAAATTGTTGTCAAATTTGAAAACAAAACCAAATTAAATATTGCCCTTTTGCTAATAATGATACATATATTTCTTGGAAAAATAGGCGGATTTTGTTCTGAACTGGACTACCGATTTGTGTTTTAAAATCAGTTCTTTTGTTCTGGTTCGGCGGTTGCTGCAAGATTTAACAAACAAGCATTTGGATCAAAGTTAGTAATGTTTTCTGTTTGTTGTGTACTTGGAACGTGTGATACAGTTGTCTGTACTGGCTGTGGCCGGCCCGGGAATTCTGGTATGTCAGGCTGCGAAATAGTCGATTCTTGAGTGGGTAGAGTAGCAGTAGATGTTACTTGCACATTTCTGTCCATTTCTGTTTGAAGGCAGATATTCACACCGTGATGTAAGTAATTCTGCGGGTTCGGTGCAGCTGGGATTTGTAGCGGATGGAATGATACTGCCTACGTAGAATTTACATTAAAACCACCTGTATACATCGACCATGGGTGAGGAGCCATCATCATGGGTTGAAAAGGTTGGGTCATGTATTGATTAACAGAACCGGTGTTTATATTATCATGCGCGGTGTTAGGTTCAGCTGAACTTTGTGCCGGAGTTTCAGGTTCGGGGGGATGTTTTCCTAACTTTGCGAAAAACCTCCATTTCGTCACTGCTGGAAGAGTCGTCTTCATGAGTATTTCTATGTCTTCGTCTACAATCTGTAATTTTAGTTCTGTCATTCGACGTGAAAAGTCGTGTCACGGGTCAAGCTGCTCGTAAAATCTTCGTAACTCATTTGATGGAAATCGTCTTCTCTAATAAATACAGGTACTCTTCTAGCTTCGGAGTAGTAAATAAACTCCACTTTAAACAGGTATTCTGCCATATTTTTAGATTGATACTGGCGAAACGAAATGCGTCTTTTAGCACATACCAGCCACGTGTTCTAGTCGTCTCTTTTTTATTTGGTGTGGCGACAGTGAATACCGCTGTCTGGTTTGTAATATAAACAACTCTTCGATTTTACCGCTGCTTTGATAATATCTCGAGCAACTTGTAAACATTTACTCGCAATGTTAGAAAACAACTTCAGTAGTGTGTTAACATTTTATACAAAGTCAACGTTCGAGGTTTGGTGGAAACTACTGTAATCTTTAGTGTACGCCAAGTAATTCGTTATATCAATAAATAGATAATTACATCTCCCGTTTCTTAATGTTTGATATTATCTGTAGTTAAAATTTGTTAAATCTCGGTTTTTAAGCGTCTAGGAAAAGGTCTGAATCAATCTCTGAAAAACACACATTTAAACAAAACATTGGCCTATATGATAACGTATTGGCGTAGAAGTGTTGCAATCTAAATCTTATTAGTATTGCAGACTATAACAAGCGTTTCCACAAATAATATATATTATTATACATCTGTCACCGTCACGCCATAAGTTACAGCGTGCCGTAATTTTGAGGTATTTCACGGGGTATTTTCATTCTACCGTATTAGGAAACGCGAATTCAAAATATAAAACGATTACGCATGTAAGCGTCCTCTAATAATAAAAAAACAAACATGACTGCCCCCAAGGTTTTGCCGGACTCAACACAAAGAAGTTTGCTAAATATGTTCGTACAATCTGTTCTAAACTGGGACAGTACGCGGTCGGGCGATATTTCCGCCGTACTGTCTTCGTGCATACTTTGCAGTATCCTCGTAATACCCTAATAGTACTACCACACAGCAACCACGTATTAGGAGTTGTAAGTGTGTTTGTATTGCGTAACGTCTTTATTTGTGTTTACTTCGGTATTTTGACAGGTAAGCCACACGAAATAAAACATTGATGTGCTGTCAAAAGAAACATTTTATTTATTTGAATGTCTGTAATATTGATTTGTACACATCATTCCATATATATTGTACATATTGCCTTCTTTGAAAACAGGAGGTGAACTGGTAAATATAGCATTGGGGAAAACTGTCACACAAAGTAGTACAGATAACGAAAACGGAATAGCAGAACATGCGGTTGATGGCGACAAATCTGGAAATTGGTTACATAATAGTTGCAGTCACACAAGTGGCTTGGCTAACGAACCATGGTGGAGAGTAGATTTGGCGGAAATACACTGTATTTCACGAGTAGTTATCACTAACAGACAAGATTGTTGTAGTAAGTCCTCTTTTATAACCACAGTCTTACCCTTCAAATGCAACGGGAAACTGAAGAAAATACATCACTTGTCAAATAAATTATATATGAACAAATACTTGAACAATATACAATCTGCGAATACACTGAATGTCCACTCAACATATTATAAATGTGTAACCTTTTTTGTATACAGGTCACAAAATAGAGACGGCAGTGGTCCTGATTACTAACACTGTTGACGAGGTGGACGCTATTCAGTGCGGTTCAGCAATAGACCAATATACTGCGTTGCAAGCGACGATTTCATTTGAATGTGATGAAAATACACTCGGTCGCTATGTTACTGTAGACAAAACCGAAACACCAGTTGTCCTACATATGTGTGAAGTAGAAGTGTTTGCTCCCATGATTTTATAAAATGAGTCAAGTGGTATAAGAAAAAAACCCTCGAATTCGAAAACTAATTATTCTAATTTACTATATTTCTGAGGTGACAAAATACGTTCACAATTGAAAATTCAAATATACATGTATATAGACCATCCCATAGTGTATGGCGTCTTTCTACTGCAGGCTGTTCATTACTAAGTAGTTTTCCACATTTGTATTTACACCCGTTCTTGTTAGTCTGCATATTTGTACTTTTGAATAATACTTCTAATTGAATTTAATTTTCCATCTTTGTAGCTTGATGTAAAACTACAATTTATTGTACTACATGTATAATTCAACCGTGCAATCTCCTTCGTATATAGCTTGCATTCGCACATTGATTGAAATTGAACATTGTATACGCACCTTGATTGTATCAAAGATGTCGCCTTGACTAAGTATTGAGATCTATTCGTTGTATATGTTCGAGTTTACATGGTCGTACATGTATGTAATCTTTCAGGCTCATTAGTAGTTACTCAATTAATACAATTGCTTACCTTCTCTCCCTATACGTAATCTAACGCACTGTTTGCTACGTATTTTGCTTCGACACAAATAGTTGGTGATTACAATAAAAATAAAACAAATATACCAGGTCACGGATTGATAATAACTGCTAATGTAATTGTAAGTGCTAACGTTCTATTTTTACAGTTAAAAAGAAAATATCGACGTTGTCTCTGGAACGTTTCAGTGTATTTTTCTTGAATTTCAATTTCTTTAGCATGACATTTCGACCTTTGTTTCTGCATTGTTTACGAAGTCATTTCGAAGGGCAGTGGGTTTGTGCTTCAGGCGATGTATATATTATATAAATCGGAACCAACTCTAGTCTTTGAATACCAGACCGAACCCTTTCAGAATGTTCCAAACTTATTTTATATCAATTTGCTATGTAGGTTGTGCACAGTGAGGATCAGTAAGCTGAATTTACATTACAAGTAATTTATTAATTATATCCATTTTAGTTTGTTATGGGGTACTTCTGTGTGTTAGGCCATGACATACACAAAGTAGTATTGACTTCTACACAGTGTTTTTAAACAAGGAATTTATCGTGTCCATTCAGCCAATAAGTCGCTTAAAAATGGCTGTCTACCATTTTATTTTATGAATTACCGCGAAAGTTGAAACTCGCAAATTGAAATCACTAAGTCATATTTTCCAAAATAGAGGGAATTACATTCGTATATTTTGTCTATGACCCTCTACTTGTAATTGTAGGTTGAATGTAATGTTTGAGCGAATCATTTAAAAACCCTGAAAGCAACCGTGATTAATGCAAATACCACCTACAACCATACAACAACAATCTATAATCTGTCCTTATATAATTGTTGCTGGGACAACACAGTTCTATAGAAAATAATTTACTGCTGAATGATGTTTTAAACACCACTTAGTTAAAAGTAGAAACTGCCCTCTACACATTGGTTTATCGTGGGGCGTGGGACTGAATGCTGGGACGGAGTATTCATTCATTATCTTTGGAACATATATAATAGTCTCACGCTTGTTATATTGTACCTGCTAGGATCTCACTGTAAGTTGTTGAATGGTTAGCAATAATGAGCAGAATTGTATCGACACGAGTAAAGTAAAAAATATATAAATGAAAAGTACAATATTTTTATATTTTGGCTGCATTAATGTACAGAATGTAATGCGTTTAGGGTACATTAGACTGATGTGCCTTGCACCATTTCGGTACAATATATACACGTATACACACATGCATGCCTTTACACATGCACATGCACTGAATTTAGTTCACTTGTACATTTGAGTGATGTCAATGCATTATTCCACCGTACTTTTGGAAACAATCGAGTAGAGGCAGCTTAAGACCCCCTATCTATTGTGTACACACTGAAAACAAAAAGCACACTTAAGGCACTAGACTATATTCGCAAAGCTGCTGGAAAATGGGTGCCTAGTAGAAAACGAAACGGATTATTTATAATTGAAATATACTTCATTTTAGAGTGATAAAATAAATACACATCCGATAGCAAGAACAATTTTATTATTTTTTCAATATATTACCTGCACTCAGTGCTGCGAGTGTCTGTTTGATTAACCGTAAAATGAAGCAACATCACAGTGGCGAAGCCATATTGATTTATACTTTGGTTTTGGATTGCTCAGTGTTAGCGAAATGGTAATGGTAAATTTTTTGTTATATATATCAGGTTCATTAGTTAAAAATATGCACAATTTTGTCGTATATCATGTGTTATCAGTGACTATGCCGTGTACTTTTGTTTTCATCGTGCAGATCACGCCAATGAATTGTACGTAAGCTGAGAGTATCAGAGGTCATAGGTTTGCTGTATAATGGCTGAATATAATGTGAGGGTTGACTGCATTGCTATATCAAGCAGGGGCTGGTTATATTTTATAACTTTTCATTTTGTCATGAATCTTAGCTGATTAGCAATATTCAGTCAGTGCCCATGCTTATATTGTTTGCGGCTAGTATTGTTCAAATCGGTACTGTATTTTGTTTTAGCCCAAGTTCAATTAGATATATTAGATATTTTTGTGATTTTATACAACGACTGTTTATTTCTGTTGACTATTCTCAATTTCAATTCTGAGGTAATTGTGCTTTTCTGTGTCGTCATTGTTTAGCTGTTATGTTTTATAACACTATTTGTTGTTTACGTGAGTCAGCTGTCAATGTGGAAACTTTGACTTCCATATGTGATAAGATATACAGGTTAATTATTTTCTTTTTTTCATTAAAACTAGAAATATATATAACTGTACAATACACGCCCCTTTTCGCTAACCGTAAATTCAGCAAACATGTAGCTTGGTACATATACTTTCAATAAATATGATCTTGTTTATACACTATTTAAACTTCAATTAAATCACCATAAACAGCTTATAGTCTTTATCACCGTTTATTATCTGAAATAGACAAATCACATTCATTTCAACCCAAAACTGGTCAGGTTTGTGTATTATCCCACAGCATATATGTACCAACTTTCATTAACATTTCATGATTGGGACAGGACAGGGAAGATACACACCATTCCTTAGAATTAGATACAATTTATGAATGAGCTATAATAAAGCACAAATCATCAAATCATAGGACACAAAAATTGCTGCCATATATTCCAGTCAAAGTCCAAGGGTTCGATATAGATCAATATTTTTGTAAGAAAGCCTCTTAAAAATATTTTTTGTGTAAATATTGTCTTTCAAAATTGATTCCATACGTTGAATTCTAAAAGAAGAATCCTATACGTCGATCACTTTTACATGTACCATACATGTACTGCAGTGTCGGACGAATTGTTATTATTTCGTTGTAGGATTATTTGATTCTGTTCTACATGCCAATTTACCGTCCCCTTGTCACCACGTACTACTTTCGGGCATCCTTCATTTTTTATTACTGTATCCATTCTGGGATAATTGTTCGTCGTATACGCCCTCAACCACGTGATGTACCGTGAATATCGTACCCGTCCAGACGCGCGTTGTTGCCGACGTCTTAAGCGTATTCTGCTACGTAGATTT